CAGAGCTTCCAAAAATCTCTCCCAACCCCCCCCCCCTCTCCTCCCAGTGAAGATTTCGAAGTTTTTTCATGCTCATTTTATTCTCCAAGTTTTGCTCCATTGTGCTCGATGATCGGCGAGCTTTAATTCTCTCCTAGGCCCCCCAGTGAAAATTCGGGAAATTTTTTAGGCTTATTTTATTCTCCAAGTTTTGCTCTATTTTGCTCCATGATTGGCAAGTTTTGCTCCATTACCTGGCATGAGCTATAGAGCTCCCAAAAATCTCTCCTAGCCCCCCTCCCCCACCACAGTGATTTTTTTTATTTTTGGTGACACCGAGTATATTTATATTTTGTAACAGCTATAATCGAATTCTATTCAAAGAACCAGTGCAAAAGAAAATATTTCTATCATTGTTTCTTACATAGTAGAAAGAGATAAAAATACACGTGCCCACTAAATGAACCAATAAAATTTCCTAATAAAAAGGATCCAGCTGAAAACAGTGCTGAAAACAAATTGAGAAAAAAAAAATTCTACGAGCGTGCGGGAAATGGCTCTTCCCGCACGATTTGCTGTGTGGGAAGACTTTTTTCCCGCACCGGTGCGGGAAGAGATTTCTTTCCGCACTCAGTGCGGGAAGAGTTTGAAATATAATCATTGTGACATGGAATTAGGCAATCCAACGATGTGTCAAATATGGCCGACTGTTGGCACACATATGCCCATAACCCTAATAGCGTTTTCCATTTGTCGAACCAGTGCAAGAAAAATGTATCCTTATCCTTAAATGTTACATGCTTTTAGAAAAAGATGCCGATACACTCAGTGCGCACTGATTGACAAATGGAAATCGTCATAAATTTTTTGTCATTAGTCATCGTCCCTTGTGTTTACCTCGTTGGGGATTTTAACATAATTAATTCCAGCTTTTTACAAATTTCCTTGCAAAATATTTCTAACTTATTGTGAGTGAGTTGGACATTATAATTAAATTTTGTAAGCAGCTAGACTCTAATAGGCCCTCATTTGTGCGTTGGTGTAAAAGCTATGCGTTAGAACAATATAGCTAATAATATCCATTGAAGTTATTGGGGAAACACTAGCAAATCCAACAGCGGCCTCAGGACAGTTTTTCCGCAACTCGCACAAATATGGACTTTCTCTGAAAGCTATATTTCAATAGAAATGAAAGTTTCAACTCTTGAAAATATTTTCAATGCCTTCAAAAATGTTTATATAGACTCAAATAAAATAATTTAGGTCTCAGAACTCACAAAATTAAGCAATTAGCAGCAAAATACGCAGTCAATACAGAAAATTACACAATATTGAACCAAGAAAATCTTTTGTGTGCCAACAATCCGTCAAAAAAAGTCACGTGGTGTGGATTGCCTAATTGTTTGTATTGTTAATACACCCAACCTTTACCTTTTTATAAATACCTTTTAATACATTTTTAATTCTACCTTCTGCATAATCGCATGGTGTGGTTCTGATATTTGGTAAACTTTGGTCTTTGGGTATAATTTTTTGATTGAAAAAAAAACCCACAGGCCGTTGAAAATTAGTTATAAATTAAGGGTAGGTAACTTTGATTGCTCAAGACATCACTATGAAAAAAGATGAACCCTTTAATGAAGAATTTTTGTTTCATGTATTCAATAATGACGCAGTTGAGGTTTTCAAAGAAAAATAAAGATAATCTTGGAAATAAACTTATATATTACATAAACAATATCAGAGCAAGCAAAACTAATAACATTTTTTTGATCAACAAAAACAGAGATTCTGGTAAGGAATAGAAAACAAACTTATTATAATACATTGATAAAAGGATTTTCTGAAAACCTAATTCTGTTTTGAAAACAAGTAGGTACCTACTTACTTAGGCATCTTAAATAAACAACAAAATGGTTTTTTCATTCACAGTTGGCGATAACTTTTTCCTCTGAACTCTTTTTGAAGATTATTCATGCATACTCCACTCTACTTATTTCTGTATTTTCGCAACTAATGGCGATATCAACTAAAAACTTGCTATCAATCATGTATGGACGCGGCAGACGCTATGAGAACCGATAACGACTAATGTGTTCTGTGAATTAATAAATGTGACCATGATCCGAATCAGAACCATTGGGGAACAGAGATACGCCGACCGCGAAGGGCGCGTGGGTTTGGCATAAGGACCTACTCTCTAGACAAGAGCCGATAAATTGAAAATCTAATTCCTAAAGACGGCTGCCTCAAAACTAAGGCTTAATTCGTCAAGATAATTTGGAAATGTTGCGAAGAACATGAAATCTCTTTTGATAAGAATAGATGAGTTTAATCCAAATATATATCCTCAATTGAAGATAATTAACAGCCAAGATAATATATTCTCTTGTAATAAGAAGTAATTTTTATCTGTGTACGCTAGTCTTAATTGGATTACTTTTGATCATGGGACTGATTGGACCGACATTCGATTGGAACGAGCGTATACCTTTATATCTGTTGGCTGTACCTAACGTAACAGAATTACACCAGCCAAGGTGTTGTTTGGAAGAGAGCTTCGTTTACCCTGTAACTTGTTCGGGTCACCTAATTTTGCGGACATATAAGACTATGCGCTGATGCTGGCGATTTATGGGAAAGGCTGATCAACTTCCTTCAAATGGGAGAAGGCAGAGTTCGCAGCCAAATGAAAGCGAGATATGATCTGGAGGCAAACTCTGCGAAAAACTAGCTTTAGTGAAGCAGATTTCGGATCATTAGTTGTGTTCTTATAGACATAAAGAACAGATAAATCAAGAGTTGAATAAATATATGTGTGAAAACATGGTAAACTCCTTTAACACGTTGAGTGCCACAATGGTAACAAAAAATTAGGGTCCTATGGCCATGTTAATAACCAATTTTTATATGTTCTTATTCATAAATCTTCCTGTAAAAAAAACCAGAAGTAAAATCCGCAGGCCAAACCGTTTTTGGGGTACCCCAGGCCACTATTTAAAAGCTCCCATAACAATACGTGCAAAGCTTGCATCTAACAGGGATACACACGGCAAGAAATAAAAAAACAGTTTGTATCTGCAGTGGATACATGTGGGCCTTGAAACATTGTGCCGTTTGTATCCACGTTGGATACACGTGGTACTGAACGTGTTAAAAAATCAATAGAACTTCAAGTGTTCACATAAGCTTTGTTCCAACACAGCAGGAAACCGTACAATGTACCGTCATGATTCTGCGCTAAACGTAAAGTTTGTGACGAAATTCGTATACTGAGTGGTTTCGAAACCGTTCATGGGACGGTTTTTTGATGTGTGAAATAGATCACTGGAAAAAAGCATTTTACCAACAAAAAAAAATTATATCAGGTTTTGAAGTGAAAAAATAAATCTTTATTTTTTCACATATAAAATAACAATTGTGGTGCCCATATAGTGCACACCCTGTATAGTTATTATTTACTGTAATTGCTAAACCGATATAATATTAATCTGCTGAATAAGCAAGTCATACTGACCCAGTTGGTAATGCAACACATATTTTGACAACGAATCTAATACAGAACTTCTAAGCAACAACACGTCTTTTATTAAGTCCTCGGATGAACGATCCTGCGGGTTACCCAATATCCAGAGGGTTATAGTAGAAACCTTTAGAAACCCATTACACAATAGGTTCAGTCAATACCGAAAAGAAAATAATTAGTGTTTACAATTTCTAGACTGCGCACTAAAAACCTATTAATATCAATCCTTTAATCAAATAATACGATTTGTTTGTGTTATTCATAATCAATCATAAAGTTCCGCTGTTAAATAGCTTCTAGTTTAGTTAAAAATTATGCTTGACTAAGTAAGTAGTAGTTTTTTACCTTTGCGATTTGTCCAACACATTTGTCAGTCATTTCAGTGAGATTCATATTCATTTATTTTTTAATTCTAGAGATACTGTTCGTTTGTGAAGCTAGGTCTGAAATATGATAATACTTTCATACCGTAGCCCATCTTTGTGATTTTATTTTCTCCTAAAGTTCTGTCAGTCAACGTTTTCTCGTACGATTCAATAAACAAATTTCATAATCAGATTGCTCGTGGAAGTTCTCCATACACACAACTGTACAAAAACAAGATAAAAATCGCATTTCCACTCGACAAACGAAAATTATTAAAGCTCACAAAATCAACAAATATATAGAGAAACATTTTTTTTTTTTAAATCAATCAAATAAAAGCTTTCAGAATTTGCGTGTCAATCGCAGTTTGTACTTTGTGCTGCAGACACCTAAATCAAGTGTGCGGATTTTTTGTAGTTTGTACATTAATGTGCGGTTCATTGTTTTACAAAACGATACAAAAATTTGAGAAATTTAATTACCAATAACTAATAAATTAGATTTTTTGTAGAATTTGCGTCTCAAAATGATGCTAACAGAAGCAAATTTCCAATTATTACGGCCAGTAATTTACACTAGCAGAATTTTTGGCTTGTGTCCAGTGACTTTCACAAAAATTGGAAATTTTTACCAAATAAAATATTCACCGTTTTTAGTTTTATACAGCTATGCACTGTTATTGCTATTTGGTAAGTATAAGCTTGCCAACATAAAATTTTTGAACCAAATTTCCAATATTGTTTCAGGAATAGGAACAATCCTCGGTGTAAGACGTGATATAGAAGCAGGAGCGAATGCAATAAGAATGAAAAGTTTAAGAACAAGATATATCACCTTGTGCGATATGGCAATGGTTTTTATAATCGCCCTGTATGCAGTATTATCAATACCCTATCGAATAAGGCGATTTGTTAGAATGGTTGATATTTGGAGCTATGTAGATAAGGCATTACCCATTCCCAATTACCAACGTTACAGAAAACACTCTTTTATATTTATACTGAGTGTTTTGGCTGTTGCTACCTGTCTTTGCCTTTTCGACATGTTCATTTATTGCTTACAATGGCGGGTTTCAAACAACCCTACCTTTTACCTGCAAAACTACATTAGTTTCTACATGCTCTATTTCATGTTATTATTCCAGGAAGTATTTTTCTGGCATTTGGTTTATTTCATTCATATAAGAATAGTGTCTTTGAATAGGCATTTATGCGGCGAGAAGAATAATTTAAAAGCAATTTCGAAAAAGCCATTTTTAATTCCTTATACTTTGAACGATAATGCATTTGAAAATAATGCCATTGAGAGTCGAAAATTGTTGAAAATGCCTGGAGCGTCATCTAATGATATGGTGAAATATGGCAAAAATAGTGGTAATAATTTGAGTAACATAATAAATTTTTACGCGATTTCCCACAGCCTAAAGAGCATGTCACCCTGACGGTCATAGACCATAAACTTCACGCGTTTTTTTTTCTGTTTGGTTCCTTTTGGCCTCTAGAATGAAAAATGTCTTCAAATTTTTGACACCCGAAGTTTTTAAATGGTTTATTTAACAAATAAGTCCCAGTGTTTGACAGGACAGATGCACAGGAAACTTAAAAGACCTATTTTGTAGAGTACCAAAAATGCTCAACCTCAAAAAACTAGTAGCTTCAAAATGCACAAGCTACGGCAATTTCACGTTGTGGCGAATTTTCGTGTCGCGGCCTTTTAACGTCGATATCCTAGTTTTTGAAAAAAAAAAAATGTTTTTTTTTTTATTGATAACCTATTTTACTTATTTGAAGTACTCCTCAGCGTGTTTAAATCCAACATTCAAAAACGCGCGTGTTTTAATAAAGTTACCATAACAACATCAACAACCCAAGAAAGGTAAAATCTAAATGTCAACTTTTTAATTATGATTTGTCAGACAACGAAAGGTATACCAGATGTCATATCCACTTATACTTTAATATACTATTATATGCTGGTTAGCAAGTAAAACAAAACAAGAATAGAGCACTTTTGTCAGATAATTAACGAAAACAACGGTATACCAACGGCTATGTTATATTCACGTTACTCAAGATTTTAAAGCTAATTGCTCTACAATCCTCTACAAAAAAAAAGGTTTCACAATTTTTTTTGAAGGTATTTGTCTTTGTTTCCGAGATATTCAAATGTAGAATTAAAACTGTATCCTATTCGCCACATAAAAAATAAAGGATACCGCAAGGCATGGGATTTTTGGATTCTATAGCTTTTGCCAATTTTTTGATATGTCGTGGAGAATTAAATTCTGGACAATATTCGGTTTTGTATTGTTTCTTAATTGTAGTCAATCAAAAAAAAAAAATTCAACCTCCGGATTTGTTTCAATTTTTTTTTGTGTATGGGAATAAGCGCAATTCACATAAACACCGGCACAATTGAGCACAAAACGAGTACAATTGAATACAGTTGAGAAACAATACAAAACCGAATGTGGGGGGCCAACTTGTGCGAGCCGTCTTGAGCTGGAGACTCGCATATTTATTGAAGCGTGGTTTTTAGATGAAAGAATCCGAGATTTAATTCACATTTATGGAAAAATAAGAGAATCTGTAGAAATTATGAATGATTCAGCTTCGTTTGGAACTGTGGTAGACCTTTAAGAATTACCATAAAAACATTTGCTAGATAATTTGCTTTTAGATGACAATGCTTAGTTGCCTCTTGCACCTCGTTATCACTCCATATTTTTTACTGGTTGAAATCTTCAAGCAAAATCCTTCTTTCGTTTTCATGACTCTGCAAGTAGTTTGGTTTCTTGGCCATGTTGGTAGGCTTCTAATAATAGTGGAACCTTGTCAAACGTGCCTGAAAGAGGTATGTAAATAGGATTTATATGTATGTATTTTCTTTCAATTGTTGAATTTTTAGTATAAAGTCACTCATAATCTAGTCTCAGAAATGATTTTAATGGATTTTAACAAGGATTCTAAGGAATTGGTGAGACTTCAAGCTTGTAGCACTCTATGTTATTAAATATTTATTTGCAGCTTAAAACCTTTATATCACAAATATCTTGTACGGCAATAAGTTTCAATGCTTCTGGATTTTTCAACATTGACAGAAACCTACTAACATCGGTAAGAAAGTATTTACATATTTTTTGAAATTCCTGAATTTTTTTTTTGTAATTAGGTTGCAGGAGCTGTTACTACTTACCTAGTTATTTTATTCCAATTCAACGGTGACGCTAGTTAGATACCAAATAAATTATATGTGTTGATAGAATCGACTGCGGTGTTTTAGCATAGTTGAATTAAACTATTTTCATTGCACTGTTCAATTTATGCAAACAAAATAAACCCTTGTAACGAAAAAGAATTGCCTGATGCAGTGGCGGCTGGTGAGAGGAAAAGTTGGCGGTGCACACACTCAGGGGGGAAGCCCTAGAGGCGCGCAAATTTTGTTGGACTGACCCAAACTAACCCAAATTTTGATCTAAAAGTTGTAAAAAAAACACGCCACAAAAAGTTTTTTCACTTATTCTCAATTCAAACGTGGGCATTTACCATTTCTACAAAATAATAAATGAAGCACGGGCGGAGTACGAGAAATTTAATAAAACAATTTTATACAAAATAAGACATAAGGCACTATACAAATCAAATAGGAATCAAATTTATAAAAAATATCTACTGCACTGTCTTTCCAGACGAAACTGATTTCTTTGCGGCAGGCGCTTCAAAGAAATATGCCGCCCTATGGCGCCAGGGACGCCGCTAAGAAATTTAACCAATAAGATATTCCTGGAGTCAACGTTGACTGTCTATCGATAGTCAAATCAAATAAGACAGTAAAAAAAATTAAGTTCCTTCGGTGTTCGGCGTTTTACTTTTGAAGCACTTATAAGGCACGATACAAAGCAAATAGGCATCAAACTTATAAAAAAAAAAGTGTGCAGTTCGCACCCAGTAGAAGTAAAACATTCATCGAACTGCACGCATTACACACATACTAACACACACAGTGGCGTCCCGCCCCTCCAAAAGACTTGAGAGAGAACGCAGTTTAAAAAAACTAAAAAACGCGCTTTTATAGTAAATTGAACTAGAAAGTGAAAAATAATTTTTAATATAAACAGTAAAGGGGCTAGGACAGAGCTGGCGCAAAATCAGTCATTTTCCCATGTAAATCTCCATAAGAAAATCTAAGGTCCGTTCTGGCAATTTTTGTACCGTTTCAAGGTCATCCGTCCAGTCCGCCAGCCGGCGCTAAGCCCCACCCCCTTTCCAGTGCCCGTGTCTTTCATCAGTCGCGTCAGCTGCCGCTGCGTTCGGGGTCATTGACCGCACCTGGCTGCAAGCGGCTCATCGAACACACATAGCAGCTCGTGACTACGTGATTACGCTGGCATCCTGCGATAAGCAAGTCCTAACAAGTCTCTAACCAATCCGAAGGCTGAGGTCTCTCGTCTCAATATAAGAAACGAGCGACAACAAGCCGGATATTTTTATTATTATTATTTACATCATATTAATAGCTACAATGCTTTCGCTCGTATTCAGATCAAAGGCGCCGCTTGTTCGAGTGACTTGTTGAAAGTGATCAGTAAACTTTTGGATTGCGCCTATTTCTATATCAGTGTTGGAGTTAACAAAAGCGTAAGTATTATTACAGTTATTATTATTATCAACATGACTCATCATTTATACAAATATTTTTTTGCAAAATAATTCCGTCTCAAATTTTTTCCATAAGGATTTTCCTGGAATTTTTGCTTCAAATATTCATTTCCTATCAATAATATATTGCTAAATTATATCAACATGTTCACCAACAAAAGCAAAAATTAAGCAAACGCATCACATAGGAAATTACACTGCTTGAGCCGTCCTGTCGCAATACTGATAAACTATTTTTATTTAGAATAAACAATATAACCTGTGACAATAATAGGCGTTACGTCATCAACGTGTCTGTGAATATTTTCATCGCATGACGTGATCGTTGGCGCCATCTAGCGTACATAGTGTAAAGTTCGATGTGTCCCATTATAGGATGCTGTAGTGGTAACTAAGGAAAATTCGTAACTGTCGCCGACGTTTAATGTGGGAATTTTATAAACAAGGGTATCATATTTCACGGCTATTTTTACTTGTAACTGGTGTAACAGGCCAAAATTGCATAAATGATTCTTACCTACTTTCAATTTTATATTCAAGATTTCCTTAAATTTGTCAGCATTTTCTCTATAAAATTTCATCAATAATCTCAACGGTTGTAGATCCTGTAAATTTTCTAATTTTCCATAGTCAAATTCTATTTGCTGTAATGGTTTTTTCCTCATTTTAATCCATATTTTAATTCAATTCTAAAGCAAAACAAGGCAATATTTTGATTTCGATTTTAAATTCGATCATCTGTTTCATAACAAAAATAATTCATGTGTCAAAAATATTTCGTGGGTTGTGTTCCGTAATCATGATGACCCGTTTTCAAGTGGGTGTACCGTTCGTACTGACTGTTCGGTTATGGAGCGCTATTGATCTCGGCGCAAATTCTAGCGTACCCCGTTTAGTTGCGCATTGGTTCGATGTCCTTTGAGATATCTGGAACGCACCCTTTGATTTCGTTTCTTTGACTTTTGATTGTCAAAAATTTCTGTCAACCAGCGGTGGAGTAGTGATGTTTTCAGCATGATACTTTCAGTATCGTCGATTCTTCCTTGAGCTCTCTAATTTTGAAAACGGAACACTTACTATATTTTGTATTCTTCAAGTTTTGATTGTTTTATGGGATGATTATTTGTTGTTAATATCATTATTCATCAGCCGTTGTTATTTTTCTCAGTTTATATTGTTGTGTGCAATTTTTGGTAAGTGGGAATTCTGTCGATTGGTTGTTTATGTTTGTCGTTATTCTGAATCATCTCTAAGTCCTTTAGGTGAGGTTAGCTTATTGATTGAATGTGCAGCACTTTCTCTTTTCACGTTGACTGCTTTGGAAGAAACAAGTCCTCCAGAAGAATTAAGTTTTTTTCTTCACCTTAAAAAGGGATTTTGGGCCTGATTTTCTTCTGAATTGAATTTATGGCACACTGAGTTATCTTGCGTTGTGTTTTACTTTCGTAAAGTGCCATAATTTTCGCCGATGTTATCGGATTTAAAAAAAACAGTCGTTGTGGTAAGTTGCTTGCACGTTTTTTTCCAATAGAAGTTTCTGACTTTTTCCATTCAATTATTAGTTGAAAGCTGCCCTAAGGAGTAGAGAATAATCTCACCTACTCCAGGATATTCAATCCAATCCTCGATCCAGATTTCCGGAGATTTTCGAGGCCGACACCCTAATACCATCAGGTAAAAAAAAAAAAACACATAACCTTATGACAATTTTTGCAAACTCAAGACACATTTTTCTCAATTGCTATCAAAGCCTTATTATGATTCAATCTGATTTAATTAATTAATATCTTAATGTTCAATTTTTCTATTAAAATAATTTTCAAGAGCTATAGTTTTTTTTATCAAGTAAATTTGCTATTGGGAACTAATCATTATAGTTTCATTTTCTAATTCAATTTATTCATGAAGTGCTTCGCTATTAGTTCAATTACAAATACAGTGTGTATAGCAGTTTTTCTCTTAGGGTCCTTTGACGAGGGTATTTCCTTTCACGAGGGTATTTCCTTTGACGAGGGTATTTCCTTTCACGAGGGTATTTTCTTTCACGAGGGGTTATACTTTACCATCGAGTATATCCTCACGGTTATAACAATAGACGTTCAATTGTAACCGAAATTGAACCAAAAGGCTAACAGACACCAGCCTAAGTAATCGGACGGTTACGCAAGTCATCGAACAAGTTGACCACAACCAGTGGCCAGGACTAATCTGGTGAACTGAATGAACCACCACCATCTGGAAAATTTTGGTATCGTACTAGTTTTAGTTAACCTAATTGTTATTGTTTGTTTACATTCTGTCCCTATTTGTACACCCGGTGATCACCTCGGTATTTCAGGGAATAATTCATTGCTGGCCCCAGTGTGGTAAATGAATTATTAAAATAGGTAACTTAACTAGACGTAACCTGTTGAATTAATGTCAACTTACTGGTAGTTCTGGTTACGTAAGTGTAAAATAACCGCTCCAACTTAGTCATTAATTTATTGTTTTTTTTGTTTTATTTTTCTCTTCAATTTCTATTTGCAACTTTTCTATTTATACCTTTTTATTTTTTTATTATTACTTAGTTATTGAGTTTCAATAACATATTTTTGCATTTAAATTTAATTGTTTTTGACTATAGCAATTATTTAAAAAAAACGTATAGCATTTCTGTATCTGTTGGTTGACACTTCATGACAAGGTCATTTATTAATTGCTAATTTACTTGATTATTATTATTTTTTTTTTTCCTTAAATTCAAATTACTGTCCATTGTGGTCTGCGGCCATTTGGTGAATAAATAACTGTAGCACTTGATTTCTTGACTTTTATTTGGTTTTATGCACACAGCCTGGTTTTGCTAATATTTTTATTTTTTTTATTAATTATTATTTGGATTGTAAGGACCTGAAGCCAGATACCATCCTGGAGAGTCCGACTCATCTGTTCAGAGTCGGTGGCGCCCAAAACTAAAACCCACCCCTACTCTCCGAAATATTTAGTTCTGAGCTAGGGCTTAATTTGCACGCACTTCGACCTTCAGTCTTACAATCTCAAGTTCTTCATTCAATTATTTTTATTTTCATTATTTTTATTTTACTTTTTTTTTAATTTTTTTTTTATTCTCGACTTTAATTTTTTTTTAAATTTATTTTTCTAAATTTATTTTTTTTCTTAATCAGCGAAAAAGAGTGGCAAATTAATTGGCGCCCAACGTGGGGCCGCCGTTTCTTTGAAAGAAAATTTAATTCACTTTTCTTTTGGCTGTTTTGAGTGCATAGAATCAAATTTCAAGTTCTATCTTTAAATTTTTATTTGTTTATTTTTTTTTTAAATTACTTTTGGGTAACAGGTATTACGAATCCCTGTGTATAATTAATTATATTTATTCTTATTGTATCTCATTGTTGATTACTTACCGTATTGTTTGATAGTCATTTTGTAATTTTTTATTTTTTTTGTTTTGTGCTATGTCACCCTGTCAGGCCAAGGAAAATTCC